TATGACTCACATGTATATGTGTTTATGAAATCAATACACTAATGTCAGGAGCATGAAAAAGAAAACCAGTCATATGAAATACTATATGACGCATAGTAACAAGCAAGAATACAGTTGGGGAACAGGATTATGAAAACACCCACTCCATCAGAAAAAGAACATTGCTTACAGTTGTTTCTCTGGGTGTTGACGAGAATGTTCCATAGATCCCATATATGGTTCCACGCTCAGAGCGAGCGCGCCCGATTGTGTGCTTGTGTAATACCTTCAGAACCCACCATACCAGAACTGGAAAATCAAAATGTCCACTGCCGCCATGTGGGAGCATCCGAATGCCAACCCAGGGGCCTTTTTCATGGTGCAGTTGAGATTTCTATGTAGATACAATATACATTTCACTTTTGGAGGAGGAGTGAGGATTTGATGTTTGGACACCTTCACATCTGATGGACAATCCAGGTATCACCTTGTGGTCTGGGAAATCTTTGATGCCTCCTGGAGGGGGCTGCTGACTTACTGCAGGTGTAAGCCAGATGCACTTGTGGACCCCATACAATATGTAAAGGAAAAAACTTGCCATGTTGCAGTGCAATGAGCGGCTCACAGTGGACTGGTGTGACGTTAAAGCGGTTGCAAGGTCCCCTCTCTCAAACCACCGACAGGAGCAGTGGAAATAAGAGAACTCGTCAATTGCTGAAGCACCTGTCGTCTGTGAGATAAAACAAAAAAAGGTTACTATATTAATGTCATGAGGTGTTAGCACCACTATGGAAAACATTAAGTTGTTTAGTTCTCTGATGTATTCAAAAAGGATTAGTACTTTAGCCTTTTAGCCTACACAAAAGCATGAAATGTCGGAGAGACATTTTCCCTTCAGTTTGTGTTTGATTGTGTGTAGATACGTCAATCTACGTTGATGACGGCGTGTGTAACACTTCTTCTTACTCATGGCAGTGGATATCGCTCTAGTAACACACCTTTAATGAATGGAGGGCTCAATTAAAAACCAGAAGGCCATCAGGTGGTTATAGCTCGGGGAATCTGTACACAAAGAACATGTCAGTCATTGAATTGACAGTAAATCATTCGTGTTAACTGTAACACATGGGCTAATGCTTTCCTCTGTTTGCTATTTATACATTACAATCAAATAGACTGAGAGTAAGAAGGCCACTAGGTGCAGGTTATAGTTAATCTACAGCAGTAAATGTAGCAACTACATTAGCAGCAGTAATAATATCTAAAACATACAGGAACATTACACACAATGACTACGTTTACTCTTCATTCTTACGTGTGCAACTGGGGAAACGCAGTGGATATTGACAGTATTTTACTTTGGTAGTTTGAAGATATCCACTTGTAGTAATATATTATCAGTATGTTGTTAGTAATTATATGTTTTACTCCACCACATTTAGTTAACCTTTCATAGTTTCTAGTTACTTTTATATATGACAAACACAGGATTATAATTCTACATGTTCGTTCAGAGTTTAAAAACCATATATTTGTACTTATACTTCAGGTTAAGTTGAGTACTTATTCCCAACACTGCCATGCATATAGTCAGCGGTCACACGGCAGGTAAACAGGATCTTTATAAGCTAACCCATCTCAAAAACTTGGATAGAATTTTAGCCAAAACATTACCTTGTATAGAATGGATGTTGGTCGTCGGGGCCAGCAAACCTCTGTAGCAAACTCTCGCTGGACTCTTAACTCCTGCCAGTTGCTTCGCAGATCTCCCACTTGTTGGAGTTGTCTTCTTGCAGCCTGAGAGGACTATGTCAGTGAAAGCGCCGCCATCACGGTAGGTGCATGTTGTTGTCTGAGGCCCGGAGAAGCGCACACCAGGCGGCGGATACACATCTATCCCCATGAATGCACAATCCTCCACCTGAAAAAAAACATGAAAAGTTATAAAAACATTTAATGATCAATACATAAATGATGAGCAGGAGTTGGGTTTTGTGTGCCTACTGATAGAAAGTATCCATCTTTTCAGTCTGGTATGGGTCATCATTTACACCTTAGTTAATTTGTGGTTCCATCTAGGTGCCACAAGGAGTTAGGTCCAGCGACCCGTAGGCTCTACGATGCAGTCTCTGTGACATTGCTCGTAGTGCAGCTGCTTCTGGTCTATCCGCTCATGCTGTCCCGCACTCCTGCGTCTCTGTACCACATCTGCTGGGCCTGCAGCTGTGCCCTGACAGATCAGGGCCCAATCGGTTATTAACCAGCCACTATCTCCTTGATGAGGGTCGTCTAGTGTAGCATCTGAGATGGTGGAGTATGTCCCAGAGCGCAGCATGTGGAACTGCCTGAAAAATAAACATGTTTTAAATATATGAGACCTACGGTATTCAGATTTACTTTACAACATGCATAGTGTAACATGGCTACAACCCCTCCTTGGGATGTTTACAATAAATTGAGACAAGATGGCACTTCCAATGTTGAAGACAATTGCTACATACCTCAATCGCCGTCTCACTGTGCGCAGAGATACTTTTAATATCTGTGCCATCTTTGTTGCTGTAAAACCCACAGCTCCTCAAAAAGAGAGTTGCTCTCTGGAAATGCTGAATTGTGGGGGACCTCGACCACCCAACAAAATGAGTGGGGCGTGGTAGCCAGAATGACCTGCAACAACAGCAAAACATTAGATTACATTTATTGTCATTGTTGTAAAGCAACGCATTATGCCGTTGTGCCAGAAACGCACACAATGCGTCTATTTTATTGTCATTGCCCAGCCTAAAGATACTTTAAAAAAAAATGAAATGCAGTTGGCATTAAACCAGTGGACATGCAATACACTATAGTTGTAGTATACATTAAGAACAAAAGCATAAATAGTGTATGGGCATAGAGATACATAGTTGCAGTCTGTGTCTTCCAACCCTGAAGACAGAGACTCCCCCTCTGGCACCCTTTCAATGTCCTCATTCACACGTTTGATGATACGTGGTGTACTACAGATGGCCAGACTGCCCTCGACGGGGGAGGGGGAATAGCGTCTCCTCTACTGTGGCAGGATATAAAGGTGGAATTTGGAGTACAGTTTTAAGTGGACAACTCGAGACTCAGAGCGTCTCACCAGAATGTTGTAATTAATAGCTGGCAACTACAGATTAAAAAAGGTGTTTATATTGGTATTACCCATATTTAAAACAAATAATTACTTTAAAATGTATTGGCCTGTTGGACACTTAGTACTCAACAATACTAGCACTGGTTTATCAACGAAAGCCTATGCTAAAGTGAACAATTATCACATCGACCTACCTTGTTGTGCGGGTGTGGTAGGCCAAGATCTCCGGACTTCAAGTATATATTCCCGAAGGTCCTGAAGTAAAAGATCAGCTGTAGGGACGTTAATTAGCCTGCCCCGTGACCACTCGAGGCTCCTTTCCATGGTTTCTAACCTGCCAGTAAACGGTTTGGTGAAATAGGGGAGAAGACAGAATTTGTAAGTGTGAAAGATCTCACACAACCTCAGTTTAGGTTACATGCAAAAACAAACTACATTCCTTTGTGTTGGTAGTAGCGATAGGCTTGGCCCTTACCTCGTTACTGTGGATTGTAACACGGCATGACCGGCATCATCTGTTTGGAGAAGTCTTGTGCAGTCATTTATTGTCCTTTTGCAACGCAAGATGAAGTTTCTCGTGGACATTTTTCCGGCTGCTGCTACTGCTGCTACTACTGCTGCTGCATGCTTATAGAGAGGCGAAGTCCCTCCCTTTCCTGTTGAGCTCCATGAGACCTTATTTCGGAAAAGGTATGTATTGAAGTCAATGGAGAGAGAAAGATTATCTTTCGATCCCGTTTGAATTGAACCACAAATTACACATATGATTTTTGTCAATTTAAAAGATAATTTTGCAAGTCAAAAAAATTGAAATGTGTCGTAAAACTGTGAAGTAACACTTTTTTTTTGACTGAAACCAGTCAATGACCTACATCTCCCGTCGCGCACCACACACCAAGACGGCCGTCACGTTGGCACATTTCACTTCTTTCTAGTTGCGTATTTTTCATAGTCTTATATTTCAACAGTTTTACGACAAACTGAGTTTTTTGACATGGAAGTGATTGTTTAAGATGACAAACATCATAAGTGTAATTCGTGGCACAATTCAAACGGGATCAAAAGATAAGTTTTCTCTCAAGATATATTGCCTGATCTTTTCCCTAACAGCCCTGATACCGAAAATTCATGGTATTTTTCTTTCTTCAGTGTCTGGAAAAGCACAATTATGTTGTTTTTCCGGTTTTGTAGACAACGAAAAAAGTAAACAATCCTTCCTTTCTAAAACAGAACAAAGAACACAAAAATGATGCAATGTGCAATTGCAATTGCACTGAAGAGAAACATTCGAATTCTATTTTTTTTTTTTTATAAATTAATACATCTGAGGCTGATCAATTCCCATTTATTTGAAACATGAACGCAGGCGACAGGCTACCACCTTAAACTGGAGAACAGACAACTGTTGCCAAGCAGTTGGGACAATTAAGGTGAAGCAGACCTTGGAATACTTTGCATTTATACAAAGATTGTAAGTGAATGAAAAGAGATAACACAAAAAAACGTTTCCTTTCCGAGACTCGAGCCCGGCCCTCCCGGATATTAGACCCTTTGACCGTTAGTCTACAAGCAGATAGTGGATAGATTTAGTTTGAAAGATATAACTGGAGTCCACCCACGCAGCGTCGAAGTGCGCATATTTTAGATATTTAATCATATCTTTTCGAATATAAGGGGTAGAAATATGATTCAGATAACCGCATAAATATGTGGGCACATTTTCAATGTATATTGTCTTGTATAAATTAAGTTATACTCTCGAAGGCATGTTTATGTTAAATATTGTATATCATTAGAAACAGCAGAGGGCAGTATAGGACACGGAAAGGCCTCAGTGGGCATGCCGTAAAAGGGAATGTGTTGCTGAGCGCATGCCGTAAAGTAAGTGTTGTTATTATGTGTCTGCCGCAGACTTGGCATTCTGGCTGGAACGGCAACAACGTTCCCTCTGCTTCATTCATTTCTCCTGTTCAACAGGTTAGTAGTGTGTACAAAGATTATGTCATATTTCGATCTAAGAAGTGTGTTTGAAACTGTTCTTTATGTGTAGTTTAATGTCATTCTGTCAGCTAGTTCGGCTCCACTACAGTGGCTAATGGCGTCCGCTAGCTTCTTTGTTCTTCTATGTTACTAGGTGTATGACTCCCGTGCAGTAGTTTGGCTTACATTTCAAGTGTATTCTGCTTGTATAAATATGTGAAATGCTGGTCTGAGTTCATAATTGTTCATATTATTGAAATTCTAATAGCGCGCTAATGCTATGCTAATATTGTGCCTATCAGTGTACAACAGAGCCAGGTTAAAGTGAGTACAGTCAACCGGGTTGTGTGTGTTATCACTGTATTATATACTGGAAATGAAGAAGGCTTTAATCCTTCATAAAACTCATAATATGGCATGTGGATTTATTTCCATTTTTGATTAGAGAAAAATACGTCATACAGTTATTTTGATTTGCTAAATGTAAAGGTATGTTTTTTTTCCTTCAGATTTCACAGCTGCCTGGGCCTAGTGGCCCAGAG